GCTATAACCCTTCAAGGAACAAAGCACCTTGTCTTTTCTCACCACATCTATTTAACTATACAATTGCAAGTACTATCCATCTATACAATAAAACAAGAAAAATAAAGGCATAAACATTTGAGAAGAAAAAAAAAAAAACTATTCACAAAAGACCTGATTATATATACACACACACACACACACACACACACACACACACACAAAAATCCACTAAACAAAATTAATTTTGCAGTCACTAGATACAAGGTTGGAGTCCTAGTATGGCGCTGTAGGATAAGCACTGGACTACTAACCACAGGTTGGTGGTTTAAAATCTCTAGCTGATTCTCGGAACTTACTCAACAACACTTAACTAGAAGCAAAATCAACACACGTCTTTGGTATTTTTACATACTAGCAATGATCAAGGAGCTCTGGTAGCGTGGTGGTTACGAGTCGGGCTGCTCATCTCAAGGTCAGCAGTTCTAAAGTACCAGGGAAAAAGATGAGGCTTTCTGCTCCCGTAAAGTTTTACAGCCTTGGAAACCCTGTACAAGGTCGCTATGAGAATCAACTCCACGGCACACCACCACCAATGATCAGGAGTAAAGCAAACTTTTCAAAACAGTACCACATACACTGATGACCGGGGGACAGCATTGTAGTGTCTACCCTTTGGTAGGGTGATGATGCATGGAGGGGATTGTAACCATGGCAATGAAACAATATAAGATAGGATGAATGTAAAACTAATGTTCTCTCCCATGCAAACCTATCACATAATTCACAATAAAACATTAAAATAACCAAAAACAGTACCACATACAAAATTAAATAGCTATAAATGTAATAGAGTGTGGCTCTTTAGGATAAGCACTGGACTGCTAACCATAAGGTGAGTGATTGGAAAGCCTACACGGGGTCGCTATGAGTCGGAACTGACTCAATGGCATTTCACCACCACCGCCACCTGCACACCACTGTACCATGTACCAGGTAAAAATACTTGTAGGTGCACGTACTGGCCCCGTAGGGTAAGCACTGGGACTCGACCCAGTTCTCTGGCCTGATTGCTATTTCAACTTGGGCTTAAGCCCTCGTCCTCCCCAAATCATGATGTCCAGAAGTTCCACATCAGGCAAGGCATTCAAGGGCAGACTGCAAAATAAGAAGCAAGCAGGAGGTGAAAAACCATGCCTCCATGTGAAAAGGGCAGATGGGTCTGGGAAGAATGGGGAGCTTTACTGTGTTGGGTTCTCCAATCCATCATGTGGTATAACTCCTCCGGTCACTTAGGTACTCTCTGTTTTATAAGCATTATATACTTTTTAAACTTTTGCATACAGATCTGTATTTGTGCATTAATATCATAAATGTTGTAGTTGTTAAGTGCTATCGTCAGTTCTGACTTGTAACCCCATATAAGGTTTCCAAGGAGCAACTGGTGGGTTTGAATCACTGACCTTGCAGTTAGCAGTCCAGTGTTTATCCTGTAGGACCGTCTGAGAGGTTTTGGCAACTGCTGTGATAGCTATACCTGGAGTTAGATCTGTCTTTGAAATCTAAGCAACAGGTTTTTTTCCTTGATTTTTATAAATGCAATTTTTCTTTCTTTTGCTTTAAAATAACCACATATAGAGAAGAAATAGCGGTACAGGAAGGAGATTTTTACCCTAAACGTTAGGGAGTAATACTTAGTATACACTTTGTGCACACGAGCTCAGACAGCACAGCTTCACAGACGTGGATACAGGAGATCATTTTAATCCAGTCCTGATCTCACAAGCTACCCAGTGATAACTTTGCAGTGTGTCCAGTTTGGAATCTCATGCTGCACTTGCTTGCCACTACCGTCTCTGACCTTGAACTGGTCCCTCCTTGTTCCTTTGGGGTTTTTTTGTTTTTGTTTTTAATGTTTTATTGTGAATTATGTGGTAGTTTACATGGGAGAACATTAGTTTTACATTCATTCTGTTGTATATCGTCTCATTGCCATGGTTACAATCCCCTCCATGCAATCCTTGCCCTGTGCCCCCCAGGTCTTCAGCACACAGTCGCTCTTCTCCTTTGGTTTTTAGCCTTGACACTATGAAAGGTTGCCAGTCAGTTCTTTTGTTGAATGGCCCCTAATTTGGGTTTGTCTGACACTTCCTCACAATTATCTTGGTTATTGTCAAGTCAGGGCCCCCCACACACACACTCATGGTGACCTCACGCACAACAGAACCACATTGTTTCTGATATGAGATTGGCAGGTAATCATATTGACCCCTTGACATAATGGGCTGGTTCTGACTTTTCTGATACTATGATGTGTCTAGGTGCGGGTCTGTTTGAGTGTATTCTACTTAGACCTTGGTAAACTTTTTATATATGTTTTTCATCAAATTTGTGGGGTTTTCAGCCACTATTTTTTAAAAATGTCTTCTCCGCCTGTTTTCTTTCATTATGCATATGTTGGTATGTGTAACGGTGTGTTGGACATACCCCTTGGGCTCTATTTTTCTTTTTTTCTCGCAGCTCCTCAGACTGCATGATCTTGCTTGATGAATCTCTGAGATTCTTTCTTCACCCAACTCAAATCTGCTCTTGAGCCACACGAGGAGTTTGTTTCAGTTCTGTTATTGTGTCTCTCAACTTCAGAATATCTATTTGGTCCTTTTCTACAATCTGACTATTTGTGCGGTTCTGGTGTGGCACTGTGGGTAAAGCACAGGACAACAAGGTCGCTTTGAACCACAAGGGCTCAGGCTGTGAATGGGAACCAACTTGACAGCGCTTCACAACAACATGTGATGAAACCTCAATCTTCCATTTGCCTTTGTGCCTTTCATTCTTGGAACCTACCTTAAATGACTGATTTTAAAGTCTAAATAACAGGGTGCCAACTCTGGACATCAGATTCTCCTGACTCCTCCACAGTTTGTTGTTCATTGTAAGTCTTTCACTGATTGTCCCGTGTTTTCTTGTTGTATGTGTTGCCATTGAAATCTCTACTTGGTTAATTTAGTATTCAGCTAATAACTTAAGCACCTGGGACTGGTAAAGTAAATCTCTCAGTCTTTGCGTAGGGGTCTCTGTGTTGGGTGCTCCTTCGACACTTAGCCGGGACACTTCCCTTCCTTCTGCGCAGAAACTCAGGTTCAGCCTGAAATGAGATTTTAGGCCTCGTGTGAACTCACACACATACACACAGCCCTTTTCATGTGTGTCATCCTCTAGATCCCCAGGAATATTCTGGAGCTTCTCAAAGCCCATCCTCTAGGGTTTTTTTCTTCAAGCTTTCTGGGCAGCCATTGTTTATCCTGTTATCCACTGCCTTAGGCAGCCACAAAGTTTAAAAAGTGCTTGTTAATATTTATAACAAACATCTCTGGGGGATGCTCTAGGTCCAGTCCCTTAGAGACAGCCTTGCAGTAGAGTGGGTCTTGCCTATATAGAACTGCCAGGCAGGTCCGCTAACCACCTTTCTCTGGGCATGGGCCTTGAAGGTGCTGCAGCCCCAACATTCTCACCTAAAGTGGCAGCCACTGCTGGTTTAATCCAGGATTGCCCGTTGCTGGTGACGACCATGTTTTTATGCAAATAACACGTGTTTAACTTCATCCTTTCCACACATCACATGTATGGGTGCATTATTTGTGAGGGAGACAGGACTGGGAATGGGGGACAAGGTGTTCTTACTAAGAAAAAGCAACTTTTCTTCAATAAATGCTCCCTTGGCTGCTGCAAGTCTGTGGTAAATCTACAGGTTTCTGGGAAATGTGACTAAGACATTACTTGTGAAGTGCTGTCAAGTCGGTTCTGACCCATAGGACCCTGTATAGGGTTTCCAAGAAGCAGCTGGGGAGCTTGAACCAGCGACCTTGTGATTTCAAACCGACTTTGCGGTCCAGCGCATTAGCGCACAGCACCACACCAGGAGTTCATGGGAAAATGCCATGAAAAGATACTGACATTTTCCCACGAACTCTTTGAAACCCCCTTGTATTTACCAATTTACTCAATGCTTTTACAGTGTTCTGACTGACTTCACACATTTACTCTATATTTGTTTTTATATCTCTACATATTTAGAGGAGCCCTGGAATGGTGCTGTAGGATAAGCACTGGACTGCTAACCACAAGGTTGGTTTAAACCCACCAGCCTCTCCTCGGAAACCGTATGCAAGGTTGCTATGAGTAGAATCCAATTCGAAGGCACTTACCAACACACTGAGACACAGTACGCTGCTTCGGCTCTGGAAATGGGAACTCTGGCTCCCCTTGTCCTTTATTATAGTGACTTTCGTCTGGGCAGTCACCTTGAGGGTCGCCAGTTGGCCTTGCCCTGGGTGGGCTGGGTTCCTCACTGTCTGCTCCTGCTCTGGGCCATCTCACGTCCGCTCTATGACCGCTTTCCCACACCACACGCCATGCAGTCTTCTGAGCCCTTCTTAGGGCCTCCTGGCTACACCGCACAGACACCTGTCAGTCCCACCTAACGGCTTTGGGACTGAATTTCGGAAAGCATGGGAAGAGAAAGGGTCACATGCGATTTTTGGACAAGTCTGTTTTCTGTCCCACTTGTCAAATGAAAGAGAAGTTGCGAGTGAGAACACAGCTGCCTGTCCCTTACAGATGGAAGCGCAGTGCCCATTCCCTTGGCTGTCTCAGTTTTGGGTCGTAGCTGTTTTGGGGGAAAATGTTCTGGTTAGAGCCAAAGACCCCAAATAGGCAGTCACCGATGAATTTAAATTGGCTTCTGGGGACTTCCGGAGGTCTGGGGAAGGTCCCGCCCCCTCTCAGGAAAGGTACGCACACAGTCTTCTTGGGTCTGCATTCTCTGCTATACGGCCCTACCACCCAGGATTTGGCTGCAGCAAGACTCAGTCCTCTGGGGGACAGAGATGAGGTGTCATGTCTGGCTGAGCTCCAGGGACATGCACATGCTGTCTTCCTCAAGCCCCGTGTGATGAGAGTGTGGCCCCCGCCATGGCACCTGGAGCTCAGACGGTAACCCCCACCCTGTTTCCTGACAGAGCGGGAACAGCTTCCACGTGTTTGACCAGGGCCAGTTTGCCAAAGAAGTGCTACCCAAATACTTCAAACACAACAACATGGCCAGCTTTGTGCGGCAACTCAACATGTGTGAGTACCCCACCCTCCAGGCCTTGCAGGTCTGGGCGCTGCTCCACCCACCCCTACCGTTGACAAACAGCTCCCTAAAAGTTCAGCTGTTCCAAAGGACCTCTGCCTGCCTTTGGCCTCAGGTGATCGTCAAGGCCTGGGATGAGGGTCTGTGGGTAGAGGCCAGACTTCCAGAGCCAGGCCCAGTGGACACGCAGTCAGCCGTTTCCTGTGAGGGGCTTCCTGGCCTTCATTCACTCAATGGCAGTAGCAGCCCCGCCCTGCCCCACCCATGGTTGTGACAACCAGAACTGTACAGAGGGGCCCCCCAAACCTTAGTTACCCTAAGCAGTTTGCCTAGCACACTGCCTCTCGCCTCACTGGCAGCCCTTGGGGTTGGTGCTGTGACCTGTTTCTCAGGTGAAGACAGTGAGGCACAGTGAAGACCACCCCACACAGCTGAGCTCCCCATGGAGAGATTAGAGGAAGAGGGTGACCTCACTGCTCCCTGGCCTGGTGTCTGCAACCCACCGCCTTCCCACCCCACATTAAGAAGAGGGGCCCTAAGTGCCTGGGGTGTTTCCACCATGTGAGCAGCCCAGGCCTTCCAGTTCATTCAGCCCCCTGAGGTTCACCGGCAGGACCACCAATCACTATAGCCAACTGGAAGAGCCAGTGGCTTTGGGCACAGACTTGGTGGTGATCAGTTTGGTCCCTGTCCTGTGCAGACGGCTTCCGGAAAGTGGTGCACATCGAGCAGGGCGGTCTAGTAAAGCCCGAGAAGGACGACACCGAGTTCCAGCATCCCTGCTTCCTGCGCGGTCAGGAGCAGCTCCTGGAGAACATCAAGAGGAAAGTCACCAGCGTGAGTAGCCACCTCCCAGGCAACGGCATGGCTCCTCCATGCAGACTGGCCCAGGCCAGCCCCTACCGTGTGTTGAGGCCACGGCCTCGTCCCACCCCCTCTTCACTGCTCTTCAGCCACCCCTCTTCTGGGGGTGCAGGGACAGGGGAGGAGGCTGACTGATTGAACCACGTCCCTGATTTACACAGGGAGATGCTCCCCTCCCCTATACAACAGGGTCCCCATGCTCTGGGCCAACCTGGTAACCCTGGCCTCTCTCCCCTGGGGACCCAGGTGTCCACCCTCAAGAGCGAAGACATCAGAATTCGCCAGGACAGTGTCAGCAAGTTGCTGACTGACGTGCAGCTGATGAAGGGGAAGCAGGAGAGCATGGACTCAAAACTGCTGGCCATGAAGCAGTAGGTCCCTGGGCCTGTGCGGTGGAGTCGGGGTGGGCACTGCTGCATAGCCCCGTTTCCAGAAGACCCCGTGCAGTTGAGGCCAGGACACCCATTGAGCCCTCCCCCAGAGCCCCAAATGAGGTGCCCTGCCCACTCCTACCAGAGGGCCAGCCTCATGGTGAGAGGGACAGGCCCCCTGGCAGCCTGCCCGAAGGCTTCTTTGTGGTCAGCCCCCTCCCTGGCCTGGCTGACCCTGGGTCCTTGCAGTGAGAACGAGGCACTCTGGAGGGAGGTGGCCAGTCTGCGGCAGAAGCACGCTCAGCAGCAGAAGGTCGTCAACAAGGTGTGTGAGGGGGGCGGCCGAGGGCACGCGGGGCGGGCGGGGCCCGGCCCCGGCGGGTGGGCAGCCCGGCAGCCAGGTGACCCGAGGTCTCTGCCCACAGCTCATCCAGTTCCTGATCTCCCTGGTGCAGTCAAACCGGATCCTGGGAGTGAAGAGAAAGATGTAAGGCGCGGGGGTTGCCTAACCCCTGGATGGGCCCTGCAGTAGCGCAGGCCCTAGCTAACCCGCCCCTCCCCCGCAGCCCCCTGATGCTGAGCGACAGTGGTTCTGGACACCCGATGCCCAAGTACAGCCGACAGTACTCCTTGGAGCACGTGCATGGCGCAGCCCCGTTCACAGTGAGCGCCTGACCTCACTGGGGTGGGGGTGGGGATGAGGGAGCAGGGCGCTCCTCGTGCGCATGCTCCAGCCGCTTCCCTTGCAGGCCCCGTCCCCAGCCTACAGTGGCTCCAGCCTCTTCTCCCCGGACCCTGTAGCCGGCTCCGGCCCCATCATCTCAGACATCACTGAGCTGGTCCCCACTAGTCCCTCCGCCTCCTCGGGTGGGAGCATCGACGAAAGGTGGGGGCCTCTTCACCTCATTGCACCTCAACCCTTCCATCCCCGCCTGGGGAACAGGTCGGGTGGGACTGGGTGGGGCCAGGGCGCGTTGAAAACTCGCTAACGTCCTGCTCCCGTCCAGGCCCCTGTCAGGCAGCCCCCGGGTGCGCATCAAGGAGGAACCTCCCAGCCCCCCTCAGAGCCCACAGGTGGAGGAGGTGAGCCCCGGGCAGCCTTCCTCAGACGTGGAGACAGCCTTGTCCCCAACCGCTCTCATCGACTCCATTCTGCGGGACAGCGAGCCGGCCACCGCCCCTTCAGCCAACCAGCCCACACCCCTGTCTGCCTCAGCCCCAGAGAAGTGCCTCAGCGTGGCCTGCCTCGACAAGTGAGTCAGCCCCAGCCCCAGCCCCAGCCCCAGCCCCGATTCAGGGGCCTGGGTGGTGAGCCGGGGCCTCCACAGCCTCGGAGCTGGTGGCAGTGGTGGGAACAGACACTAACCAGATCGGCCACAGTCCCCATTGCGCAGGAGCCTGGTGGTGACGGGCCGCCCCTAACAGCCCTTCCCAGGGTTCCTCGCCTTGTGTGCTGGCCAGCCCGGCCCTAGACCAGGCCGGAGACGGTGAGCGGGCTGACCTCGCTCCAGCTGCCCTAGGCGGGTGAGCGAGCCAGCGAGAGGGACAGAGCTGCCGGGCCCTGCAACGGGGGCTCTTGTCTTTGTATCTTGCAGTTGGGCTCGCGCTCCACAGATGTCTGGGGTCGCTCGCCTCTTCCCTTGCCCCTCCTCTTCCTCTCTGCATGGCCGAGTCCAGCCAGGGTTAGCGCTGCCCCACCGGGGAGTGAGGAGGGATCCCCCAGAGCTGCGGTCCTCCCTCACCAGAGCCCAACAGCAGGCAGGCACTGGGGCCTCTGCCGAGGGAGTGGCCTCAGGTCTGCAACCGTACTGACCCCTGGGTGGGTGCCAGCAACCCGAGTCAGTGCTGTGCTGGGGAAGGGCCCCTCCCACCCGGCAAACTCAGTCAACACTAGCTTGCCATGCTGGGAACTGCACCCCTGCTCTGGGCGGGGCGGCCACAGGACTGGGGTCACTGGTCAGCCCGGGGAGAGGGCCCAGCCTCAGTCCCCTACCTAAAATGCTCTTGGTCATCCTCCATCTTCACTTTATCCCGAATGCAAAGGTGAGCCCTTGTCTAGCCTGCCCCCGGAGCAAACCCAACAAGGCCTGAGAGCCTCCCGCTGTCCGCAGCTCTGCCTGACCCCACCCTCCCACCGGGCTCCCAGTACCAGAGCTGCTCCTACTGAGGAGGGCTGCCCAGGGAGGCCATGCGTCACCCACCTTCCACCTCCAGGAACGAACTCAGTGATCACCTGGACGCCATGGATTCCAACCTGGACAACCTGCAGACCATGCTGAGTAGCCACGGCTTCAGTGTGGACACCAGCGCCTTGATGGATGTGAGTGCCCCCCACCCCAGCCCTGCCCACTCCAGCCCCAACAGCTGCCTGACTCCTGACCCCTTTCTCCTTTAGCTGTTCAGCCCCTCGATGACCGTGCCGGACATGAGCCTCCCCGACTTGGACAGCAGCTTGGCGAGCGTGCGTGGGGGCTGCATAGGGAATGGGAATCAGGGGTCTTGAGGAGGCCGAGGGGCAGGAGCCTTCACATGTCCCCTCCCTGTGTCTGCAGATCCAAGAGCTCCTTGCCCCTCCAGAGCCGCCCAGGCCCCTAGAGGCAGAGAGCGGCAGCAGGGACTCAGGTGAGTGAGCCCTCTCCAGCCCCACCCCACCTTGATCCCGTGCCCTTTCCAGCCCCACCCCACCTTGACCCCGCGCCCCCCTCCACCCCACAGGGAAGCAGCTGGTACAGTACACAGCACAGCCCCTGTTCCTGGTGGACCCTGGGCCAGTGGACATGGGGGGCAGCGACCTGCCTGTGCTCTTCGAGCTAGGGGAGGGCTCCTACTTCTCCGAGGGGGATGACTACTCAGAGGACCCCACCATCTCCCTGCTGACGGGCTCTGAGCCCTCCAAAGCCAAGGACCCCACCGTCTCCTAGAAGCCCCAGGAAGAGCTTGGTGGGGCTGCCCTTCACCCCCACCCCCACCACTCCCCCCACTCTCAGCTCAGGGCTGGCAGCGAGCAAGGACCAGGGCCTGGGCAGAAAGAGGGGCTGCGGCTGGCTGGGAGCAGGCACGCAGCAGCCCTGCCTGGGCCTATGGGAACGCAGTCCAGCTGCCTGTCCAACCCAGTGCCTTCACTCCCAGGCCTGGGAGCTCTGGTCCATGGAGGCTTCACCGCCACGCTTTGGACCGGCCCTGCTGGTGTTCATAGTCAGAGTCGTATTTTGGATTTTTACATGAGAAGTCTCACTTTCCCTTCTGTAGAGATTTGCAGATCCACATACAGGGACAGACCGAGATCTATAAATGGATATGCTCTATGCTAGAGACCCCCATTGTCTGTGTGCTTCCTCCAACCCCGGGGTAGGGGTCAGGGACAGCATGGGAGGGTCCCAGGGGAATGCCTCTGCTTCCTTGGGATTCCGCAGGATCTGGCAGAAGGGGAAGGTGGGCCTTGAAAGCATAGGGGGTTGTTCCAAGGCTTGACCCCAGGAGACCTCAGGTCAGGGCCACCTTGTCCAGAAATTTACCCCAATACCATCCCCTTTGACATGGCCTGTGGTGGTAGCTGTCTACAGGTCCCCATGGGTCAGCAGGCCAACCTCTGCTGTGGGGCAGAGAGGACACGATGCTAGCCCCAAGGATGTTGGCCAGGACCAGGGGAAGAGTCCTCATAGCATGGTCCCACCTAGCCCTCCACTTGAGCATAATCTTGCTATAGTTCAAAGGTCTGGGGCACTTAGGGTCCAGAATGCACCCCCTTCCCCTCACCACCAAGGTGGCAGCCTCACTTCCAGTATGGTGGGTAGCAAGCTAGTCTGTTCTCCCTCACCTCTGGGGAGCTCTCCTCCAGAGTGTGGATGTTTGCTCCAGCCCTGCCCCACCTCCAATCCACAGGTCCACTTCCAGGAAGCCGGCCTCCCAGGGAGGACCAACAGGGGCTTTTTGACCCAGGGCAGGCTCTACTGCCCCCTGCTGGCTGCGGCCCCTAGACTGTGTTCACCACAGCAGTTTGGCCCCCGCCAAGCTGCCCACCTTCACCCCCAGCCCCTCTGCCACCCCTGCCTCCCTCCCAACACTCAGCCCAGCAGGCAAAGGAGTCAGTCTGGAGTTTTTTATTGACACACTTGCCCCACGGGCAGGGCACAATCCTTAATGAGCCTCCGGGTGGCAGTCCCATCCCATCAGCCCCTGCTAGAGTCAGATCCCTGAGGGGAAGGGGCCCCATAGGGGCAGAGAGGCCTCGTGGGCCCCTTGGCAAAGCCCCAGCCCCCACCGCAGCCAGGGTGGGTGGTGGGCAGAGGCTGCTGTGAAGCTCAGGCAGTCGGTGGTGCAGCCTCATGGTGAAGCACGTAGTAGTCGTGCACATACATGAGTACCGCCACTGGCTGCCCAATGATGAGTGTCAGCCACACCACCGCGTTGCCGTAGTTACCCATGAGGAAGCGGTTCGTGATCCAGGCTAGGGGAATCTGGGGGAGGTAGGGCAAAGTTAGGTTTCTCCCTAGGTCCAGAGAATGGGGGCTGGGAAGGGGGAGGGGCTCCTCACCTGTGCCATCATGCCGGTGAAGGCCCAGAGACGGAACATACGTAAGGGGATGCTCACCAGGTACTATGGTAAGGAAGGAGGCGGGCATCAGCTGGCTGCACACCCCAAGCTCAAGGGAGACCCACAACTGGACACAGGGAAGCAGCCTGCACTGACCTCATGGAAAAAAGCTGAGGCTAGGAACACCCCGGTCCTGGCAATCCACTTGTAGGCGCCCCAGCGGAGCATGCGCTTGTAGAAGTGTCTGCAGAGGAAGAGGGCTGTAGTGGGCCTGAGGCCTAGGTCGGCAGCCGCACAGAGGCACTTCTCATAAGCGGACAGCCCACCCACCTAATGCACCACTTGTGGACAGGGATGTTCCAATTCTGCCAGAAGTAGCTGACGGACTCGGCATTCCTGAGGGATGACAGAACAGGAGTGCCTTAAACCCACATGGCTGCACCAGCCCCCTGCCACTCACCACCAGTGGGCGCTAGGTCCACTCACCACCAGTCCCGGTAGAATTCCCGGTCTCCAAACTTCATGAGTTCAGCCACGACGTTCAGGCAGGAGTGGAAGAGCCAGTAGAAGAAGATGAGCCAGATGAGGTGGTTGGGGACCTGAGGAGAGGGGAGCTGTCGGCTCCAGAAGGGCCCACCCAGTCCTCCCACCCGGGCCACCACTCACCGCTAGCTTCAGGAGGCGCTCAATAATGCGGGAGTAATCCATGTCCTGCAGAGACAGGGGTCAGCTGGCCGCCCCCCACCGCCCAGCCCCAACAGGGTCCAAGCCACTCACCTTAAAGGGCTTCATGGAGTTCTGGATAGTGGGCACCATCCACTGCAAAGAGGGGCACACTGTCGGCACGCCACACCCCCCAACGCCCTCGCCACGCCCCCAACGCCCTCGCCACGCCCCGTACCTGCTGGATCAGCCCCACCTGGAGCTGTGTGAGGAACAGCTGAGGAGGGAAGCAGAGCAGCGGGCTGAGCCACAGGCCACTGGGCGCCACCCAGCTTCCCGCAACCCCGCCTCACCATCTCCAGGAGCCGCCGCAGCAGGAAGCGCTTCCGGATCCGGGGGGAGCGGGGAAAGTTGAGTTCGTAACACAGGGTGGGAGCAAAGAGGAAGTAATACAAATCTGAAAAGGGACGGACGGGTGGGCAGTCACCTTCCTAGACGGTCCTAAACCCCCTGGCCCCGCCCTGGGCGCTCACCTCCGTAGGTCAAATTGTCCGGGTAGTTCACCAAACGCTGGGCTGCAGCCCCATTGGCCTTGTCTGTAGAGGCTCCGAGGCTGGCCTTGGCCGTGCGGGTCCCAGGTCCCGGCCGCCCCTCACCAGTCTTAGCCCGGGCCCTGAGCTCGCGGCACCATTGGTTGACGTCCCGGTAGGAGAAAAGCTTAAGGAAGACGATGGTGTACACCAACAGTGCCAACACGGACCCCACTGCAGGAGAGAAGCAGGCTAGTGCGCAGCCGCCTCCCAAGGAGCTCCCCAGCGGCCACCAGGAAGAGGGTGGGGGGTGCACCTGGAGTGATGGAATCCACCAGGAAGGCCACAGACGCTGGCAGGCAGAGAATGGTGGTCAGGTTGGTCATATGCAGCAGCAATCCTGCCTGCTCTGTCAGGGCCCCCTGTGACAGGAAGGCACAAGGGCTCAGCCAGGGCCCCCAGCCCCCTGGGGCGGTACATGCAGTCCTGGTTTGGAGCCCCTACACTGGGGGGTCAGCTGGGCAGGGAAGTGGGGATCATAGCAGGTGGGGAAGGGACACTGCTTACCACTGCCAAACGTTTCTCAATTTGGAATGCGGCCACAGCAAAGACATTGGCCACTGGGAAGAGAAACACCAAGGGCAGGTTCAGGGCCAGAGCGTCAGACTGTCCCCAACCACAGGCTGCCCCCTAGTATCCAGCTCACCAATAACCAGGCACAGGGCAGGCCAGCTGTAGGGGTCTTTCAGGAACAGAGACACCACCTGGATTGGGTCTACCAGGATGCCGTATCTGGTGGGGGCAGGGGGTGGAGAGGGGGACCCGGCTCAGGGTCAAGCAGGGGCCTTGCCTGGCAGGTCACCTGGGGGAGTTGGGGGGGACACTCACTTGATGAGGTTCTCTAAAAACAGCCGTGCATTGCTCAAGACCTGCAGAAAAGGGTCAGGGTTACAACCCCATTAGCCCTGGCCATGGGCTGCCCACAGCTCTGGGAGTGGGGTGCAGGGACAAGCAGAGGTCCTGGCGGCCCCCAAGGGCCAGTCTGAAAGAGGTTGCCTGTTACGAGACAGTGGGCCCTCACCACAGGGCTGGACCAGGAAAAAGCAGAGGTTTCATGCACTCACCTAACTGGGGAGCCCTCCTAGATCCAGGCTACCGGGGTGGAGGTAGCAGCGGGGGTCCAAGCTAGGGCCTGGGCTCAGCTGTGCTCCACCTGAGTTAGCTGATTGGGCCCCAGCCATAACCAGTGCCCCTCGGCCACTGCTTGGCCCCATCCAGCTGCCCAGCCTGTCCCGTCCCTGTCCCTGGTCCAGGTCAGCCCATTTCCATGGTTCCATGCCCACCCCACAAAGTCACCGGCGGTCTGGCTCACAGACTTTATGTCCCAGTGCCAATGGTCTCCACTTGGGCATGTCCCCTCCACCCTCTGAAGTTATCGGGGGCGGGGGGGGGTACCACCTGTCATTACACAGGGCTGCCACTAAGGCCTTCCCCCACCAGCCCCACACGGGCGCCCATGGCCAGCACCCCAGCCCCACAAGTGCTTGGCAGAACCTGGCCTAACTCACCAGCATTACCACACACCAGTTCAGGATGCCACGGTAGTTGCTGAAGCCGCTGTCGGAGCTAAACAAGGACTCCTGAAGGCGATGGCAGCTGGTAGGGCGGGAGACAAGCCACCTGGTGAGGGCACAAGGCCAGGGCCTTCCCAGGAGGAGCTGGGAGAAGAGTCTAGGCTCACCCCATTGTCCTGACCCCCCCACACACACCCCAAACGCTCTTTGCCCCATGAGCTCAGAGCTCAGGACCCATTTACAACCAGAGGTAGATAGTGTGTGACACAAGAGAGACTGAAGGAAGAAAGGCAAGAGGCCCAGGCTTCATGGGGGTGCTGCCAGAGCACGGTGACATGGGGAAGGTGCAGTAAAGGTCTGCTGTGCTATGTCACCCATCCCATCTCCTCCAGGCTCCCGTTCCCTCACTGGCATGCAGGTGGCATGGGGAAGGAACTGAAGCCGAGTGCTGCCAGAGCTCTGACTTGAGGGACACCTCCACGGGTGGGACCCGGCATCTAGCCTCCTTGTTTTTCTCAAATTGTTTTTGAAAAAATCACAGCCTAGCTCAATCCAACCGAGAGGTAGCTTTGTGTGTATCCAGGCCAAGATGCCACCCAGGAGCTCAGACCAAAGGCAGACCTCATGCCTCCGAGCAAGGCCCAGGCCAGAGCTGAGGAAACTGTCTGCAGACCCCTCCTGCCCCTGCATATTCCTAAGAGTAGAGGGGCACCTGTCCCAGGAATCAGAGCTCAGGGGCCCAAACAGCTGTACCCCTGCTTCCTCCAGGCCACAGCTACTTCCCCCCAGAAAGTCCAGCAGGGGAGCCCCACGGAAGCATTGAGCAAGGCCTTCTCCAGTTTAGTAAGACAGGGCAGGGCGGGGCCCCTCCTAGCCCCTAGATCAGGGCCTGACCAGGAGCTCACTGGTGCCCTCTGGTGGCATGTGACAGGAGTGCCAGCAAGTCTGTGTCAGAGGCAGCTGCTAGAGCCCCATGAGGAGCTGCTCCCCCAAGCCTGGTTCCTCAGACCAAGGTCTGCCATCTCATCCAGCCCACCCCACTTTGGCTTGCCCTCCGACACTGGCATCACGGTGCCACGCTGACAGGCACAGCTTTGATCGGCAGCTCCGGCAGGACCTCTGACCCCTGACCCAACCCTTCCCAAGGCTCGCCCCAGCTCCCTCTTTAGGTCACCTCCACTGGCCTGCCGCATCCCACCTTGAACCATCCGTCCCCTCCAGGGTCTGGAGCTGCACTCCAACTGACCACTGACCTTTAGCACAGCCTGCGACTCTGCCTAGCCAGCAGAAGTCACCTGGGTGTCCTGCCCATTGCAAGCAGAAAGCCGGGCCTGAAAGTGGCCAGGTTCAAGGCCCACTTGTCCTGTCCCAAGCCCAGCCTCTGCAACTGTCCCTCATCATTCCTACTGCCCTACCAAGTTCACTCAAGCTCACAATTAACCCCAAAGCTCCAGGCTGGCACCCTCAGGTTGGAACATTCAAAGACTGCATCACACCTGCTGACCCCTCCCCAGCAGGCCATGCTTGCTTCACCTGTGGCAGTCTCAAAGGTGACAGACCAGGTGAGGACGCCAGCCTGGCACACCAGAGTCACAGCAGCCACCATTTCCACCACTGGGGGCCGGCCAGCATCCCCTCCCCACACACAGATTCTACCTCCAATAGGATCAGAACCCACCCAACTGCAGAAACACCCACAGTTCCTGCGCTCATGCCTGTCCCCACACACGGCTGGGCACACCTAGGACCCTCAAGCTTGGGCGTCGACCCCAAGTGTGGAGAACCGTCAGGTGCCACAGCATAGAGGTGATCAAGCCTAGCCTCTCTCCCAGACGCCACCTCCTGGGCACTTCCTTCCCGCCAGCCCAGGAGGGCCTGCTGGGAGGCCATTGGGGGTCTTGGACACTGAGGATGGTGCAGAGAGCCTGGGAAGGGTGAGGCAAAGGACAGAGCAGAAAGAAGTTTGCTTTGTTCTACCCCACAGCCTCAAGAAGAAAGGTGCTCACACCGAGGCTGAACCCTCATCCAGCCCAAGATGAGCAGATGAGCAGGAAGTCCAGGGGAGGGAGGCGGCCCAGAGCACAGGGAGTCATGAGGAAGAAGGGGGCAGGTGACGGAAGGGAGTGACTTGGTCACGCCCAGAAGAGTGGCCAAGGTGAGGCTTGAGGGACAAGCACACAGGTCTGTCCTGGACCCACCGCTCTCCCCAGCGCTGCCCTCCCCTACCCCAGCCCCACCCCAGCAGGAGCATGGAGACTTTCTGGCAGACTGGTTGGAGCAAAGCAGAGACTGATCACTCTGCCCACCTCTCCCCAGGTTCAGCTCTGCTCAAAGTCAGGACCCCAATTCCCATCCCCTCCAGAGATCACACTGGCCCTCCCCCTGCTTCCTGGGAAGAACTTGGCCAGTTAGTGGAGGTGAACAAGCCTAACCGAAACCTCTGGTACAGGCAGATGCTAGGCCAGCCCCCTCAAGACCCCAGTCCTAGTCCATAGGAAGGAAACCCCCTCTGGCTAGAGCCTGTCTCCACCCAAGGAGCCTTTAGGACCTTCTCCGACCTTTGTTCACACTGCTGGCCTTCCTCGGAGCTATCTTATCTTCCAGGTGGACTGTGAGCACCCGGATGATAGAGGCCGTGCCTGCACCCCAGCTCCAGGGTGTGCCCCCAGCCCCGCCCCAGGTGCCTGGTGAAGAAAGTCTCAGCTTACTCAGAGAAAAAATCCTTGCCAACCGATTGACCAATCGCCACTTCCTCCTTGATAGCCTCTAACCCTTCAGCCGGCTCCCAGAGCCTAGGTGAAGGCTAGAAGGGGGACCAAAGGGGGCAAAGGGACCTGCAGGGCCAGCTTGGAGGGGAGAGTTGATACCCTGTGGGCCACACTCACACCCCCAGTGGCTCGGTCCAGCATCAACTATGCAGGACACCCACCTGCAGGATGCCCACTCCTGGACCAGACCCACCAAACCAGGAGCCTACTAAGGGTCCTAACTCGGTCCTCCTCTCCAGGAGCTTGGGGTTGGAGCCAGGGAAGGAAGACCCGCCCCCGCCTTCAGGAGGGGCTACAGAAATGAGAAATGACGGTCCTGCCCATCCCCCTGGGCAGACATTATTGCACTGCCCTCACCGTCCTAGCTCTTGCTGGCCCCCTCCCCATCTGCTAACCCTCTCCTGGGGAGCACGTCATAGTCCTCAAGAAGGACCCCAATCCCATTTCTCTCCTGCCAGACAGCAGAGACTCCAGCGGGCGCCCACCAAGGCCACCGGAGGATGCTCACACAGAGAATCTAGAGGCGGGGTGTCACCGGACTCCCCTTAGCTCCGCGCCCCCACCTGAGTGACCTTGGCAGGTCACCCTCCCAGAGTCTCAACTTCCTCGCGGGGACCCCCAGGAGCGCGTAGTGCTCGCGAAGTTCAGGGTCAAGTTCGAGCGCGCGCTGCTCGCAGCACTCCCGGAGGCCGCGAAGGATCGTGGGGGTCCCGGATGCCGTAGGGAGGCCAGAACTTAGGGGTCAGGCACATCGTTACCTCAGCTCACGGGGGCTGCTGCCCACGACGGCGTCTCGGTCCTTGGCCGGGGCTGGGCCCGGCGCGTCTCCCCCAGCACCCACGTCGGGTCCCGCGGGCCCGCCCCGCACCTCCTCTTCCGTCACTTGGGTTGAGTGTCTCGAACCGGTCCTCCGGCGCCGGGAGCCGCCCGTGCCGCCGCGGTCCCCCATGGCTTCGCCGCACCTAGCCACTGCCAAGTGCAGGCGCCCGCCGGGCTCTCAGCTCTCGAGACCCGGACCCCGCCTCCGCACCCTCCGCCAACGGCCGCCCCGCCCCCTGCCGGCAGCCGTAGTCCGCGTGCCCGCCCACCCGGCCAATCAGCGGGCGTCTGCCGGGCCCGCCCCGGTCCGCTCCGCCCCGCGCACTGCCGGCCCGCTCCCCAAGCTGGCGGCCGCGGGTCCCCAAGAGCCGCTGATTTGCCGGCGGCAGCGACGCACGCCCATTTGTCGGCTGCCCGCAGGCGGGACCTGCGAGGAGGCGAGGCCTGCGAGGAGGCGCGCGGCGCCCTGGGAGTTGTAGTCTTCCCGCCGGGGGCCGTGCTGCTGGTGGCGCACACAAGTCAGGGTTCTGCGTCCGGAGATGTCCGTCGAAGACATGGAGGAACCTTCCCGGTCAAGCTCTGGGATGTGGGGTGCTTCCCGGCGCCGTGCGCCTCCCTGACCCGCTTACCTGCCCATTGTACCAGTTCTATAAACATATTTCATCGTTACCCTCAATCCAGGAGAGTGGTTTTCGGGATCTAGGTTATTTATGAAACGCCTCCTGTACCGCCACCGGTTACTCAGGGCTGCGATCACACTAACACAAGCAGATCACGCTTCAGACTAGAGGGCAGTGCAGGGAAGGCCTCATCGCCACCTTCCGTCTCCGAGAGCACGCCTGCAGGAACGAAAGGTTGCCTTACACCAGTCCCCACCCACCCACCTTTTTTTTTTTTTTTTCTTAAATGTTCTATTGTGAATTATGTGATAGTTTACATGGGAGTTTTTTTTTTTTTTTTTTTAAATGTTCTATTGTGAATTATGTGATAGTTTACATGGGAGAACATTAGTTTTACATTCATTCTATCGTATATCATCTCATTGCCATGGTTACAATCCCCTCCATGCAATCCTTCCCCCGTACCCCCCAGGTCTTCAGCACACAGTCACTCTCCATCTCTGGATCTAAAGTCTCCAGCTGCTCCATTGCTCCACGACATCATCTCTGGCTCCATTTCAGGCATCACTGCTTCTCTGGGTAGGGTCCCGCTCTCTGCTCTTCTCCCTTGATGGTCCTAGGGACCTCCGCTCCTAGACTGAAAAGTCAATCACTCCCCTCCTTGCTATAAAACGTCTACCTTTACATTTCTGACCCTCACAATCAATCCTGATAACAAGTATTCACTATTGTATCACAAGAGACCCGTATGCATTTCATTGCATCAGCCCCACCTAGTCAGATTGAATACTACTCACTGGAGATTCTACCTTCCTCCAGGTCCTCTGGATCTAGGTTCCCTTTTTTTTTTTTTTTTAATGTTTTATTGTGAATTATATTATAGTTTACATGGTGGAACTTTAGTTTTACATTCATTCCATCGTATATCATCTCATTGCCATGGTTCCAATCTCCTCCATGCATCCTCAACCACCCAAAGGGTATATCCCAGAAACCTGCTCCCTACACTTCCCCCTTCTCCCCCCAGTTTTCAGCCCACAGTCCCTTTCCCTCTCTGGGTCCAAGGTCCCCAGCCGCTTCATCACTCCACATCATCATCTCTGTCTCCATCTCAGGCATCTCTGTTACTCTGGGTAGGGTCCCGCTCTCGGTCCTTCTCCGTTGATGGTCCCAGAGGCCTCCGCTCCTATCCTAGAGAATCAATCACTCCCTTCCTTGTTACAAAATGTCTACCTTTGCATTTCCAACCCTCATAGTCCGTCCTGATAAGCATTAATCACTACAGTATCACGAGTTACCCATCTGTATCTCCTTTCATCAGCTCCGCCCAGACAGATTGAAGAGTACCAATGGAGATTCTGCCTTCTGCCATGCTCCCTAGCACCAGGTTCCCTCTTGAAAGCTTGTAAGCCAGTCACTTCTAGCCTTTGTAGCCCCCTGCCCCCCATTTTGGGTAGCCAATGTCCAAGTTGCCCATTCCTGTCTACTGTGTGTGTCACCCACCCACCCACCTTTAACACGGAGGTGAGCCGTTTTTCTCCAGCTGAATGGAGACCCCATAAATCGTGCAGGGGAAAGGCCAGGACCCGCATCACTCTGGAAACTGACCCTGCACCCCTTACAGGCTTGCTCCGACGTCCCTGCGTCCCTGTGTCAGCTGTCCCACACAGACTGCTCAGATTACCACAGGGCTGCACGTTTGCCTGCATGGGTGTGTAGCTGATCAGCCAAAATCTCTTCTTGAAACGCTCCCTGTGGAGTCGCGATCTCTGGCACCTGCACGTTCCACTCTGGCTTACCGCACCAGACACAACCCTCTTCCCAGATCCTGTCTTGGAGGGCTCAGTCATTCTGAGAATGGGGCATCTTTCTTGACCACAAAGTTTAGGGAGGAGTGCCCCACCTGGCTCCCTCCTCTGTGGGTCTCCAGGAGCCAGCAGCTTGCACTCAGCCCCACTCCTCACAAGGCCTCCCAGTTTTCTACAAGGGCAACCTTGCCAGGCCCTGGGGCTGGTCATTCAATGAAAGCTAAGAGCCCCTTGGTGCCACCCATCTGCAGGCCTATTTGAGTCCCCACTCAGCCTGACATGCATCTTGCTCCCACAAGGCATAAACCGAGCCGTCCTGGATGTCAGGGGCTCACTGGTGTCTCAGGGCTTACCCACGAAACACTCTGGCAACAGACTGCATTCACTCAGGATGAGTTGGGCCCAGTAGTGCTCTCTGGATGCAAACAGCTGAATCTCATCCTGACGTCAGCCCCCTTCCGGTCTACTGGCTCTACCCCTCTTGCCCCACCACTTCTACCCATGAGCACTTCCCAAATTCTTGAATTGATACTAGCCTTGCAGGCTGGGTGTCTTGGTACAACCTGGTGACATGACCACTCTAACAGAGCCAGAGAGCCCCTCTCAAATGCCCAAGGCCGCCAGTGGCCAGCCCATCTCCCAGCCAGTCTGGGTCTCCTGTCCATACCCCAACTCTTGGTGAAGCACACTGCAGGCAGGAGTAAGGGGTGGGGCAGGCAGAGTTGGGCCTTCCTGAGTGAACCCATTGTCCTCTTATGGTGGCCCTAGGGGACGTTCTAAGGTTGTCATCTTTACAGAAGCAGACTGCCACAGCTTCCTCCTGTAGGTCACCTGATGAGTCCCAACCACTGACCCCTCAAGTAGCAGCCAAGAGCACTAGGGCACGGGCCCTGGACTAGCACATTGTGGGGCTCCGGGGCCAGACAGAACTAGATCTTCCTAAGACTGACCCCAAAAGGAAAGCCCCTGGAACCTGGCCATGCCCTCTCCCGTCCCTCTCATAGGCAGTGAGGACTGGCACCTATCCAAGTTTGACCCCAGTGTAGGGTGGATGAGCTGTTGGGCAGGGCTTATATCAAAGACAGATTTGGTTTCCTCACCCTGGTAACCTTGGACAGGCTCAGGATCCTCATCTGTGAATAGGGTGAATGATACCTCCCTGGCTTGAGGGCAGGGAGAGATCCCACCACACCAGTGGTTCACTAATCTGGCCATAGGGTACATCCACCACCCCTTGGGGCTACCCCGATGTGGGGTCACCCTCTCCACACCATTGAAGACATGTGCCAGGCTGGGCAGGGTCATTGGGTGGGAGCGCTTGGGGATCATGACACCTTTCTGGTATGCCTGATGTTGTTGTTGTCAGGTGCCATCGAGTCGGACCCGACACACAGCAACCCCATGCACAGCAGAACAAAACAATGTCCGATCCTGGGCCAACCTCACTACTGCTGTCACACTCGAGTCCATCAATGATGCCACCTGGCCAATCCATCTTGTTAGGGGTCTTCCTCTCTTTCTCTGACCCTCCCCCTTACCCAGCATGACATCCTTCTCCAGCGACTGTTCCCTCCTGACAATATGTCCAAAGTATGAGAGGTGAAGCTTAGCCATCCTGGCCTCCAAGGAGCACTCTGGCTGCACTTCTTCCAAAACAGATCTGTTGGTTCTTTTGGCAGTCCATGGCACTTTCAGTATTCTCCTCCAACACCACAACTCAGAGACATCAATTCTTCTAAGGTCTTCCTTATTCACTGTCCAACTTTCGCATCCATATGAGGTTATTGAAAATACCATGGCTTGGATCAGGCGCACCTTAGTCCTCGAGCTGACATCTCTGCTCTTCAATACTTTAAAAAGTTCCTGTGCAGCAGATTTGCCCAGTGCAATATGTCCTCTGATCTCTTGACTGCTGCTTCCGTGAGTGTTGATAGTCGATCCAAGAAGAATGAAGTCCTTGACAACTTCAATCTCTTCTCCACTGATAAGAATGTTGTTTATTGGTCCAGTGGTGAGGATTTTTGTTTTCTTGACATTGAGATGCAATCCATATAGAAGGCTGTGCTCTTTGATCTTCATAACTAAATGTTTCAAAACCTCTTCACTTTCAGCAAGCAAAGTTGTATCATTGGCATATCGCAGGTTGTTAATGAGTCTTCCTCCAATCCTGATGCCACGTTTTTCTTCATAGAACCCAGCTTCTCGTATTATTTGCTCAGCATACAGGTTGAATAAGTATGGTGAAAGAATACAACCCTGTCTCACACCTTTCCCAATTTTAAAACATTCAGTGTTCCCATGTTCTGTTCGAACAACTGCCTCTTGGTCCAGGTACAGATTTCTCAGAAGTACAATTAAGTGTTCTGGAATACTCATACTTCTCAATGTTGTCCATAGTTTGTCATGATCCACACAATCGAAAGCCTTCGCATACTCAATAAAGCATAGATAAACATCCTTCTGGTATTCTCTGCTTTCAGCCAAGATCCATCGGACATCCGCACTGATATTTCTCATTCCACGGCCTCTTCTGAATCCAGCTTGAACCTCTGGAAGTTCTCTGTCAATGTATGATTGTAGCCGTTTCTGTATTACCTTTAGCAAAACTTTACTCGCTTGAGATACCAAAGAGATTGTCCGATGATTTCCAAATTCTGTTGGGTCACCTCTCTTTGGAATGGGCACAAATATTGATCTCTTCC